AGTTTAGTTTCTTACTCAAGGGTTAAAACACTTGAATGAGACACTAAACTAACCCCCTCCGCGGGGTTGGTCAATTGTTTTTAACCCTCCATTCGAGGGGGTTAGTTTAGTTTCTTACACAAGGTTGGTTGCGTTTTAAAATATTGACCAACCCCCCCGAGGCGCTCCGAAAGGAGCGTTCTGCTCTAGTTCGGTAAAAACAGCGATACGAAGATGTGTCATCTGTTTATTCAGCATTATTGTGTTTCGTTACTGCGAAAACAGCTGAGCTGTGAATCGCTTGTAGAAGAAGTGCGTCTTAGTGTAGGTAATATTGTGCTGTTAAAAACGTTTTAGAATATCACAAGTACTTATCTTATGTAAGAATTATTAAGAAATCTGTGATACTGCCCTCCACTCTCTCCATTTTAGTTTTGATTAAACTGATCATTGTCTCTTATAATTGAACAAAGTTTGAGGTAAGGGATTCCTATTTATTATTATTGTTCATCACATTTAATGTTTTCATCTGCATTTGTGAACTCGTGTAAAAGAATTGGGGGGAATCATCTAGTCCATTGAATTTAATTCTGTAAATACCGTGTAATCGAATATTTTATTTTTATTCGATTACCGCAATTCGAATAGAAACCCGACTAGAAAACATTGTAATGATTCGATTGTAGCATTCAACTATCGAATATTCGATAGCATGATACTGCGTAAAATGACGTCATCAGATGCAAAATCACGCAGTCTTGTGTTAGGCCATTAGATCCCTTGCAAATTACTACTGGAGTTGTGAAAATGGTGATCTTGCTATTGCTTGTGTTATAACTTCATTGCTGAAAGTTTGTGTTTAAAATTCAACCAAGGGTATCTATGTTTTGAGCAATATTATATATCTGCTACGTGTTATAGCTATGAGAAACTCGTGATGTGAAAAGAAGGAAGTGTCTGCAAATCGAACGTTTCCGATATTGGTTGTCACTTCTAAATTTCTTACGTAAGGAAGATTAAAAGGATTTTCTATTGCTTTTCGTTTCTGCAGTTGGGTTTTCGTGCGTTCTTATGAAATAAAATTATGGAAGTAAATAAAGATGAAGCGGAAAGGTGTATTGAATTAGCCAAGAAATTTATTTCGGAAGAAAAGGAGGACAAAGCAGAGAAATTCTTGCTTAAGGCAGAAAAATTATATCCAACACAGAAAGCGAAAGGTAAGCCAAGGTTACACTTTCATATTGTGACTACAATTTTGATGTGGCCTTGAAGCATAAGTTTTGATATTGTATTAAATATCAGAGGTGTATATTTTTCTCACTTTGCTTATATGAAGATTGAATGTCATCACAATTCAACTACCATGCATATTTCCATTCATTGTTGATCATGATGATGAGATAAATTCTTGGGGTATGTGATAAGATTTTATGAATTCTATATTTTAATAGGTCTTGCTGGCCGCTGGGTAAGGTTCTTGCCTTTTGTAACAAAAGTTGTTGGTTTAGGACTTGCCAAATCAAGTGCAAATGTTTCTGTGTGTTCTTTCCTTTCTTCCTCTGCCAGCCATAATTTTTATCTTCCAACCATTAGACATAGTGGAATTTGCCTTACAAGTGCCTGTACATGAGAAATTACCTCTTCACTATTCCAGAAACCAGTAAGTTTGAATAGGCCATATCTGGAGGCATTGGCCACAAGATTAATATTATTTTATGTATTTGTATGTTAATACCACTCCACAAGAGCAGTCTTACATAAAAACAAAATTAATTTACTAATTTTTCAGATCTTCTTAAACACTTGAACATATCACAGCCTGAAGCAGACCAAGATGATGTTCGAAGGAAGAGACACGGTAAGCCTGGATACTCTCCATGCAGTGTAAAGAGTAGTATTCATCAGAGGAATTTCAAATGATGGACAGTGTTTATTTTGAGCAAATTTTTGGTGCATCATCCGTATTTTTACACCAGTGTATTTAATTTTGAATTATTGCTTAATACTTTTTAAGTGACTGTTTTGATATGTGTGATAAACAGAAAGTCCTAACATGTCTGTCTGATATTCAACTTTGCTTGTACAGTGCGTAGCTTGTTAGTTTATTGATTGAAGTACTACATATCTTCAGGTATGTGAAACAATTTTATGTGGAGGTCTTGTTTCCCCTATCACTGTTGATTATAGTGCTTGATATTGTCTCAATGCAGCTAGCTTGTGCGAGCAGTTTTGAGTCTGGCCTCATGTATTGTTCTTATATCCAGATTTCAGATGCAGAGGCCAATATCTGAGTTCACGTAATTTCTGGATTATTAAGGGCTAAGTTTATGACAGTAGTATTATACCATTTTTATGTGAATTTCTTATGTGTTTTTTTGTTCAGTTCCAAAGAAAGAGCCGGAGGAACGGCCACAGCAAACGGAACAGCAGCAGCAATCTAGATCAGCTGGTGACAAGGAATTTAACAAGGAACATTTAGAAGCTGTAAAAAGGTACTATTTGATTTACATTTTATAGATTACTGGTTCTCAAGTGTACCCACCACTTATTTTAATGACCAAAAGTCCACAGTAATCAAATTTAATGCGTCATTAGGTTTTATGCTGCTCTTCTGATTTATTTTTCCTACATACTTTAAATAAACCACACGTTAATGTTTTTGTACATCTAATAATGAGGCTACCTGTATATTTTTATGTCCGCAGACTAAATGTGGTAAAGGCAAATTTTTAGTTGAGAACTGCAGTATTGTATTGTACTGTATATGAATCTTTGGGAAGATAATTTATGAGTTTATGTTTATGTGGTATAACTTACATCACGTTGTGTTCTCAATATGCGTGACATAACAAATTCGTACGCAGTTTTGGAGTAGGACCCACATAATCACTGTAAGTCAGTAAAAAAAATTTTCCTCACCACATTTTTTAAAAGAAAATGCTCCTGTACTGCCTGCCCTATATAAGGCTACCAAAAACACCCAACAGTTATATTCTTCTTCTTATTGCGCCATCTCCGAACGAAGGTTGGTGATCCACATGGCGAACATTGTCCTCGAGACTGCCGCTCGAAAGATGTCTATTGAAGTGCGTCCGAACCATCTTCTTGGGTCTTTCACCCAGGAGTTCTGGGGTCTACCAACGGATCTTTTTCCTTGGATTTTTGCCTTCGATGATCAGTCTTAAGATCTCATAGTGTACTCCTCTCATGATATGGCCCAAATTATATATTGACCCTGAACATGGGAACTGCTATATTTAGCGAAACATTGGTAATATTAAATATTTGATGGAGCTCATCCTTGAAAGCCAAAGTTGTATTTGATGGTATAATATTTGAAACCAGAACATAGACAAAATCTTTAAGTATTCTTCTTCTTCTTCTATGGCTCTCCGGTCCGTATTCGGTCCATGGCCTCCTCAATTCTCCTCTTCCATTCGGTCCTCTGTCAGGTCCGTCTGTCCGAGGCTTTGATTGAGGTTTCGAAACACCTTCCTTTTTACAGTGCGAGGTTGTTAGCCTTGCGACCAACCCCCAACCTGGAGGACCAGGGTACCTGTGTTAGTCTGACCTCTCCCACTCGACCAATCTGGCTATGGAGGCCCTACCAGTAGCTATGCTACCGCCAGCATAGCTCTTGGGGTCACTGAGGTACTCAAGCCCTACCACCACGACAGGGTGCAGGCATCATTAAGCGGGGACCCAGAAGACAGTCATCTTCAATTTCATATCTTGTTCTAGAGAAAGCAATAAACTTTTATCTATTCCAGGATTAAGAAATGTAAGGACTATTATGAGATCCTGGGTGTGTCCAAGGAAGCCACAGACAGTGACATCAAGAAAGCTTATAAGAAGCTTGCCCTCCTTCTTCATCCAGACAAGAACAAATGTCCTGGGGCCGCAGAAGCATTCAAAGGTTCGCTCCTTTGTCTAAATATTATTTAACATTAATTTTAAGTTATGTGATAGGAATCCATAAAGTAATCCATTATACTGTAACGTGGGTTGGTGTTGCTACCCTGGATTTGACCCTGATTTATTCACGTCAAATTAAATCGGTTACAGAGGTCTGCACATACAGTCAACTCTATACCACAACAACAGTCTTTGAGTCTCTGTTCTCTCTACACACACACACACACACATACATACTCTCGCACTCTCCTTCGAGTCTATCTGGTCCCCGTGCTCGGCGCTCTTCACACTCTTTGCTTACACATCAGCCCGTAGCACCCCACTGGACACACGCTGGCTCCTCGGCTGCCACGGTCAACGTACCCGGTGCCTGCTCACGCAGCCGACCTGTCCTTACTCAGCGTCGGCCTGTAGCACCCCACTGGACACACGCTGGCTCCTCGGCCGCCATGGTCCACGTACCCGGTGCTCCCACACGCAGCCGACCTGTCCTTTCTTAGCGCCACACCAGACCTCTCGTTGGCTCCACTCTCTCAGTTCTACCACACACTTCTCTTACGCCCGATTCACAGCTCTGTTCTTTCCACACTCATTGCTTATCGCTTGCCACCAATGTCCGCAACAGCATATCGCTTGCAACTCACTTCTACATCCTGACTCTCCTCAACACTCTCCCTTTCCAACCACTCTAAAGCCGCTTGTGAATCGGCTTTTATACAAATACAACAGTGTCATTAAACAGACAACTAAACTGTTTATTTACATTGTTATGCTGCTCTCACTGCAACACGTCGCAATACCAACATTTCAGGAACCATCTCTGTCAACATCATCAGGGTTGATGTCTGATGTCAGAACCCTTCTGATGGGGACAGATGGTTGTGTAACCATTTGATTTGGCTGATTGCCCGAGAAGATTTAATGGAAATACAAAGTATTTTTAATGTTTGTAGCTATTGGCAATGCTGCTGCCATCCTATTGGACGCTACGAAGCGAAAACAGTATGATATGTATGGCCCAGAAGAAGAGCGGATACAGCATGCTCAGAGACATGCTCATGGTGGCTATCATGAATACAACTATACCCGTGGGTTTGAAGGTATTTATTACACAAAACTGGCAATTAAAAGAAACATTGTTTTCTTCAGCGTCATCGTACGAGTTTTATTAGTGTCATAAAGGTTAGTCAGCTACCATAAGCAAGCAAATGGTGATATCTTTTAGTCTACTGTATTCTCCGAGAAATGAAGGCTTCTCACTCTATCATGTCGGAGATGCATTATTTTTAATGCCAGGCATTTATTATTTTTGTCATAAATATTTTTCTAGTGTTGGAAAGCAATGCTTTCTGGAGTACACAGAAGTTCCAGAGGTGTTCTTTCCGCCGCATTCTGTGCGGTGTTTGACATAATCTCCTTAAATATATATAAGAGTAGCAGTTAATAATAAAAGCAACATTCTATTTCTTATTATTACTGTTTTTATATACTCACATATTTATTGTCTTAATTGGTGGAACTAATACATACACAGGCTAATGCACGTGTCCTTGGAAATCTTCTTCTTCTTCTTCTATAGCTCTCCGGTCCGTATTCGGTCCATGGCCTCCTCAATTCTCCTCTTCCATTCGGTCCTCTGTTAGGTCCGTCTGTCCGAGGCTTTGATCGAGGTTTCCAAACGTCTTCCTTTTTATGGTGCAAGGTTGTTAGCCTTGCGACCAACCCCCACCCTGGAGGACCAGGGTACCTGTCTTAGTCTGACCTCTCCCTCTCGACCAATCTGGCTAGGGAGGTCCTACCAGTAGCTATGCTACCGCCAGCATAGCTCTTGGGGACGCTGAGGTACTCGAGCCCCGCCACCACGACTAAGACGCTCTACGGAAAAGTGAGGATCCTTGGAAATAAAATAATTAATTACTAAGAATGCTCAGTAATTTGCATCCATCAACAGATTGTTAGTTTCTTCTGACATGGCCACTGATTGATGGCAGTATGAATAGTTAATATATCAACTGATACGTGACAACACCGTGTATGTCACTGCATAAGATCATTGTCTTACCTCTAGATTTTTATCATACGTCACTTCACGATAATCCATTCAGCCGTTCATGAGTTACTGTGTACCGGAATTTGTAGTTCATAATGCAACTAATAGATGGCAGCGTGATCTTGCTTCTATGTTGCATCAGTCCGAACAGGCCCACATGATGTTCCTCACGTTTGATGAGCATATACAATATTAAACAGAAACTAGGAAAGTAAATTTGAGTTGCAAGTTTGTACTCCCAACACATAGATAATGTAAAATATGTGTAA